AACATGGGTGTGCATATATCTGTTCTTGTCATGGCTCTCACTTCTTTAGGGTATATACCTAGTAATGGGATGGCTGGGTCAAATGGTATTTCTAATTCCATATGTTGTCTGATTTCTTGACTGCTGCTTCTATGGGTGTTGATTGTGGATCCAAGTAAAAGGAAATCCCTGACAACTTCCATTTTTTCTCCATTTATTGTAATGTTGCTTATTGGTCCAGTTGTAAGGATTTTTATTTTCTTTATGTTGCGTGTAATCCATTCTGAAGGCTATAGTCTCACTTTTTCAAAAAAGAAACATAAAGTAAACTGATAACCTCAATGTAGACCGAGTTCCTTATCTCTAAGATGTAAAACCTATTCCAGGTTCTCAATATTTTTCTTTAATTTTTCAGACCTATATTTTATAATTTTAGCAAACCAAGTTAAACAAACTTACCTAAAATAAGTGGCATTTACACAAACAACAAATACATGTATATATGGGTATATACACAGTACTTCCAAACCCTGATGACAACTAGCATTTAAATACAAGAGGAAAACATTAGCGATTATATATATAATTAATGTTAATATAATTCGATAAGGTGTAAGATTAGATACTTGGAATTTATGGAGGGTGTTACTGACCTTTGCTTTATGATATGTGTGTATATATATATATATATATATTTTTTTTTTTTTTTTCTTCCATGACCAACTATCTGGGTGTAAGTTTGTAATGTGTCTGTCTTTAAAATTGAGGGTCAAAGTCTCCACCTTAAAGCACTGAATGAGGCTGAACTACAAGTATGGGGCCATATCTGTTGTTACAGAATGTTTTTGAAAGCTGCTAATCAAATCTCTAAATTAACTGATGCATCCAGAAAGATATTTTCTAAGTATGTGAGCCATGCATGTTATAGAATTTTTTTTAAAGTGCTAATAAAGTCAGTTAATTTGACTGCTAACCGGAAGGCTGGCGATTCAAACCCACCAGCCACTCCTCAGAAGGAAGACTGGGCAACCTACTTCGGTAGAGATAACCGCCTCTGAAACCCAAGGAGGGGCAGCTATGAGTCCAAATCGAATCCATGGCAGTGAGTGAGTAAAATGATACATCAAGAAAGGAATTTTCTGAAAGAATATGATTGTAAAAGTTGCACCACAGAAGACTGGTTTATGCACCAGGGCTTAAACTGTTTCTTGAGACAAACTATTTAACATAGGGTGTGACTTTCATTCTAGAAGAGAGAGTGGGTGTAGTGTTTAATGTTCCTTTACTTTGATTCCAGAGCGCTGGGCACACCCAGGTCGCGCAGTGGCAACTCTTTCTCTCCTTTTTTTGAGAGCCCAGTTTCAACTTTTTCCCTCCCCACCAAACACAAGTTGAGAAACAGTGAGAGAGTTTTCACAGAGATTCCAAAGAAAGGGAAAACAAGCAAAATATAAGCAAAAGAAATCCTCTTTCCTGGGTAGACACCGAGGGGGTAGAGACCACGCTAGGAGCGACACGCACAGCAACTGAGTGTGCGCAGAGCTCTTAACGTGTCTCTTGAGCATGCTGACCGCTGGGAACGCCCTACTACCTCACAGCGCCCTCGGATTCTGCGCATTCTTGCGCAGCTGCTTCTCTCCCGCCCTTTGGCTGAGGAGAAAGGTCCCGAAGCCATGTAAAGTGGTCTTGGGGTGGGGTTAGAGGGATGAACGCACTTGAGCGTGTGACTATGAGGCAGTGAGAAAGGGCGGACCTGACCTCTCAGGGTCTGTGGTGGGGGCTAAAGAATAAGTAGGGAAGAAAAGGGTGTGGGGAGAGGGGAAAGGAGGGAAAAGATAAGTGAAATGGCCTGAGGGCGCGGGATGGCTGTTGAAAAGAAAAAGAAGCATAAAAGGAAAGAGTTGTATAAGGCAACGGTGTAGTGACTTTAGGTCACCAACGTCTGAGATTTCATAGTTTGGGTTAATTGCTGTGAATGATATTTGTCCTCTTGACCAAGCTTGGATTCAGATAAGCTGAGACCTTGAGTTATGATAGAAAATTTGTTTTTACAGAAACAAAGAAATTAAAATTTAGTAAGTGTTAATTCGCGATATGCTTACATTCTTTTATTTGTGAAAGGAGAGCAGAGGTGTAGAAAAGGGGAAAGAAAAGAGAACAACCCTCATGTTGCGTTCTTTGAAATACTGTCCAGCTTTCCAAGGCAAAGTTAGCACGGCTGTACATAATATAGTTTTTTCTACATATTACTGTTATAGCACTTAAATTTGTATTATAAAAGTACTGACAGGAATATAGAGGCACTATATGGGATTTGCTAAACAAAAATATTTTTCTATAGTTTGTTGTGGTTGTTTGTCTTAATAATCAAACAGATTCATTACATTATCCAGGTCAGCAGAGCTTTTCAAAAAACATTAAGTAAATTCATTAATGTAGACAGGGTGCCTCGTCTCTAAGATGTAGAACTTATTCTAGATTCTCAACAGTTTTTCTCTAAACTTAATCTTTCAGATACCTAGGGAAAAATCCTTCAGAATTTGCGGGGAAGTAAGTTACAATTTGATGCTGTATGAAGGACAGTGGAAATAAACCAGAAGAATGAAATCTTGGTCCTGGGCTGGACCAGTTTTACTTGTTTAAACTTGGCCAACCATTTCTATCCTGCTTTTTTAATTTGTAAAAAATGAGGTTGAGTTAGATAAACTTGGAGTTTAACATTAAGATTTTGGGGGGATAAAAAAAGAAATCCTCAATGAGCCAACCCTGAAACAAGGCAAAAGTGCCAGAGAAGCTAGTTTGACTGAGTGCATAAAGAGGAGTAGTTGAAAATGATAGGAATGGTAGCTTGGCACCAGGTAATATAGGGTCTTGGATGCTGTGCCATGAAATTGAACTTACTCTGCAATGAATATTCAAAGGAAGGATTTTGAGCTAAGGGGATGTCCAAAACCGAACTCCCTGCTGTTGAGTAGGATCCAACTCATAGTGAACCCTCCTTTGAAAGATTACCCAAACAGTTGGTAGGATGAATTAGAGGAGAAACTGAGTAGTTTAGGTGACAGATGAGAGTCTAATGTAAAACAGTGGTAGGAGTGGAAACAAAGGGAAGGATTCATGAGGGCTGTGTGGCATAGTTTGTATCTAACTTTGGCATTGTTCCAAACTTTTCAGGTCATACCTCCATAATATGGCAAGTCATCTTATGAAACCTGACACTAGAAGTTGTAAGAGACCAAGAGAGTTGGAGGTAAATTATGGATTTGGAACCTTAATCTTTTTATTCTATTTTATATACCTCTCAAAAATTTTTTCCATTTAAGAAAGTTCTGTTGATAAATGCAGTTTAATATTTTCATATTTCCAGAACTGGAATTGTCTCAACCGTCTATATGTTCGTTCCAACTACCTTTTTTCCTAAATACAGGCCTCCAAGGAACTATTAGAAAATTTCTTTGTGGTAATTTTATGATCTAAAGAAAAGTGAGACCATTCCTTTATGATACATAGGACTTTAAATAGTTATTTTTCTATGATTAGATACTTTGAAACTATAGTTACAGGTATTTTTTAAAGAAGGGCACCATACCCTGTCCCTCTTCACTGTTGTCCCCACAAATTGCTCTGTTAGGTTTGGGGACATTATGCTCTAGTAAAGATTATATTATCTAGTAAAATTTTGCAAGCATTTGGCTATGGTCCAAATGACAGTTTCGCTCTTTTATATTGCTGTGGAAACATTAACTGATTCAAGATACAGGAAACTATTCATAGGGGGTTTGAAACCGTATGCAAAGTCTAATTTAAAACCAAAATAAATTTTAGTAGGCTGAGCAAGGTGCTTCTTGGGTCTAAAAATTTCCTTGATAATAAAATCTCAAATGAATAATTAGGCATATATAAAATTTCTGACTTTTTTTTTTCTGAAAAATGTTTTTTTTTTGCTTTTTTAAAAAATATATAATTAATATGTTTTCAAGATCTTGTTGACTGTATACTTGTTTTATTTGCTTTCTTCCATTAGGTTCAATTGCCAGGTAGTCCACAGCTGTTCGCTCTTGGAAAATCAGATTCAGCTGTCTCTGAAAATTCTGGACTATTTTATAAAAATGAAAACCCGGAGAAAGATTTAAATGGTGATGTAAAAATTACAGTTATATTTCTTTAAAAGAAGAATACTACATTGATTTTATGATGCAAAGGGTTTGTTATAGTTCATAACTTAATGATGTTTTTAACAGATATGATCAAGGAAGTTAATATGATGTTGTCTACATACGCAAAGATCTTAAGGCAAGTACTTATAGCATATTTTCTTGCGTCTCTACCTTAGAGATAGAAGTTTTCTTCTGGGAACTCCATAATGGGAAGTTAGTTTAGTACCTGAAAAACCTATTCAGTGATTACAATTTTGAAATTTTAAAACTCTACCACAGTTTCTTGCAATAGATTAGTTAGTTATTTTAGTTAGTTTAGGCAATAACCCTAACTTTTCCACTAAACATCCTTTGTTTTCCTACTGCCAGATGTATCTTTCTTTCTTACTAGATGATGTTACATGTTAAATTTTAAGTAAAAACTTCTTTGCGAAAAATATAATTTGACTGGAAATTAATGATAATAAAACAAAAAAAAAAAAATCAAACTCACTGCCGTTGAGTCGGATCTGACTCATAGCGACCCCTCCTTGGGTTTCCGAGGCAGTATCACTACGGAAGTAGATTGCCCCATCTTCCAAGGAGTGGCTGGTGGATTTGAACCACCAGGCTTCTAGTTAGCAGTCAAATGCTTTAGGCACTACGCTACCAGAGCTTCCTAATGATAATAGGGCAACATTAAAGACAATAACTATTTATTTTATATGTTTATATTTGTCTAGATAATTTCAATGTGGTCTTTAAATATATTGTTGACTTGAGATCACCATGTTTTAAAAGATAGTTTTATAAACTACTGGGAAGACATTATATTTGAGTAATAGTAGCTGTTGGGTGGCTGTTAAAAGAATATATATAGTATCAGTATATAATATATTAAAAATAGTTTAATATTAGAGTTATAATGTATAAGATATGCTTTCTGTTATGTGAGGAGACTTATTAAGTAGTCAGAAATATTTGTGAGACTAATTTAGCTTTTACTGCAGAGTGAATAAATTACTGAAGCTTTTTGGTGCACAAAGCCATTTAAATGAAATTGGTAATAAATGTCATAAAGAACATCACTATGATGGTGTATTTAGGCTTTATATATATTTAGTTTAACAAAGAACTTTTTTTCTCACTAGTGAGAGAGCAGCAGTAGATGCATCTTACATTGATGAGCTAGATGAACTCTTCAAAGAAGCCAGTACTATTGAAAACTTTCTTATACAGAAGAGAGAGTTCCTGAGACAGAGGTTTATGGTGATTGCAAACACACTGCACAGATAAAATTGACTACTTAAGCTGAGAATTTAAGCTATGTATTCCATTATTATTGTAATGAAAAAATGATATTTAGGCTCTGAAAGTTCTCTAGGTTTTAAACAAAATGTATACCTTAAACAGAGAATGGGGACACTCATTGAATTTCTTTTCTAGATGTAAAAGAGTCTTTGAACTGGACGTTTGTATGAAGTATGTTATATTATTTTGAAAGATAAATATCTGATACATTTTATAAAATTACAGATTACTTAAAGCATATGTAAATCTTTTTTTTTTTTTTCCTTAAACCCCCTAGCCTTTCTTAAACTTGTAATGGGGACTCAAAGAGTTTGATAATGCTTAACAATATTGCATTTTTTTATTTATAATATTTTTTAAGGTAGCAGATATCTTTGGAGACAGTTTAAAATTTTTTTTAATGGTTAGTATTATTTTAAAAATTAAAACCTCAAAGGTAATTTGCCTATTTTCTTAATATGTAGTAAAATATAATTCTGTCCTATTGCTATTTAATATTATTATTTGATTATTTTCACTATTAGTTATTATACATGGCTAATAAACTTTTTTTGGTTTAAAATTATTTTCTTGTGCTAAAAGTAGTAAAATAAAACCCAGAAATTATTAACCAGAACTTTGTATGAGTTAACTTTCTTCCATATCAATGTGTGCAGTTAATGAATTATATTCAGAATCCTTAGCAGAGTGTTGTGTGGGATAAAGATTAGTGGTTCAGAAGTAGATCTTGGCTTAAACCAACAGCACAGCCTTGGCAAGCCACTTCAGTCTTATTATAATTCAGATATGGAATTTGGACTAGCAGATATCTAATACCAATCTAGCTAAAAAAATTCTCCCTTTTATGTAAGGTAGTACAACAATTTTATTGAAAACTTTCAATATGTTCTGGTAGCATAGTGCTTAAGGTACTTGACTGCTAACCAGAAGGCTGCCGGTTCAAACCCACCAGCCACTCCTCTGAAGGAAGATGGGTCAATCTACTTCTGTAGTGATACTGCCTCGGAAACCCAAGGAGGGGTCACTATAAGTCGGGTCCGATTTGACGGCACATAACAACAACATATAACTATATCGGATAACTATATCAATCTGATGATTTTTTTTAAACCACAGCACTTATTTTTCAATCATACAGATAATTCAGTTTATCTTAGGTGTATTTTGACCATATAAGCAATCACAAATTTCAACACATTTGCAAATAGTACTATAGGGAATTTGTCATTCCTTAGGTGGAAAGCTCATTTGTCTTGCTGTTTTCTAAACTCTAAAGTAAAGTTTTATTTCACCAAATTATTATAAAGGCATAAACATTACATAACAAATATCCAAACAAAAAAGGATGACAATAATAAAATAATATTTACAAAATAGTGGTAATTAAGTGGAAAAAATTGTTGGTGGAAGTATACACTGATGGCACAAGATAGACTTGAGGTCAATAAAGTAACTACTGTGTAACTGAAAACCAAATCAAACCCACTGCTATCAAGTTGATTGTGACTCATAGCAACCTTATGTGGGGTAGAGTAGAACTGCCACATAGGGTTTGCAAGGCTGTAATCTTTACAGGAATGTACTCACATCTTTCACCCATGGAGCAACTGGTGAGTTTGAACTTCCAACCTTTTGGTTAGCAGCTGAGAGCTTAACTACTGTGCTACTAGGGTTACTGTAAGTAACTGTAAGAAATTACATTTTTAAATACTAAATGAGTTAATGTTACATATCACTTGGATTTTTATCTTAGAGTTCTTTAATACTCTAAATACAAAATAACTACTGAGTCTACTCCATCATTTTTAGGAAATGTTCTTGATTTGGGAAAAAAGAAAAAGGGGGAGCAGCTTTGCTGGTCTGATAGAGCCTGGTGGAACCACTGAGACTATGGCCCCTAGCTGTCCTTCAGGTCTGGAATTGAACCCACACCTGTGGCTTGAACCACATGAGTTGAACATTTACCTAAGGTAGATACATTCCTTGGAGAGAACAGTGATGGGAGAAAGTAGGGCTGTTTATGCACTGGGAGATAGCTCAGGGGGCAGGAGTGCATGGAGGGATGGATAGAGGGAAGAGGTAACTATGGAGAGGAAGTGGGGGGGGAGCTGTTGCATTGTGGTAAATTGTAGTCAATGTCATGAGAAAAGTGTATGTGAACTGTTGTATAGAAAGTAAATTTGCTCTGTAAATTTTCATCCAAATCACAATTAAAAAAAAAAAAACTATCAAAATGTGAAAAAAAAAAAGAAGTGTTCTTGAGTTATTTCCAAGCATATATTATTAATGTGAAAGACCAACAGATTGTTTTAAACTGGATTTCATAATATACTTGTTATATCTTGATGGTGTCATTATTCTTTAACACTTGATCCTTAGCTGTTCAGGTTCAGAAAATTGATTTTATTATTTGTTATGATTAAGCCTATGGAACTGACTTTAAGGCACAATGTGTTTACTCGTAAGAATAGCTACTTATTATAAAGGTGCCTGGAAAGCTAATTATGACTTACCTTCATCAAATTTTGCTGAAATAATATCTACATGTTGTTGTTAGGTGCCATTGAGTTGGCTCTGGCTCATAGCGACAGACTCATAGCATACAACAGAATGAAACACTGCATGGTCCTGCACCATCCTCACAATCCTTGCTATACTTGAGCCCATTGTTGTAGCTGCTCTGTTAATCCATTTCATTGATTGAGAGTCTTCCCCTTTTTCGCTGACCCTCTACCAAGCATGATGTCCTTCTCCAGGGACTGGTCTCCTCCGACAGTTATGACCAAAGTACGTGAGATGAGGTCTGGCCATTCTTGGATCTTAGGAGCATTCCAGCTGTACTTCTTCCACATTTTTACATAGATGAGAGTAACAGTCTCACAGCTGACTATATGGTTATTGTAAGAATGCCCTTTAATTTACACTTCTAACATCACATTTCAAAAAAAATCTCACAAGTTTTTAAATCATTTTTCACTGATTATTAATAAAAACATGTTGAAGATCTTTGTATAGCAAACTTTATCTGGTATGCACTGTGGGCCATACAGAATAGTTTAAGACACTCTTTATTCTCCCTTCTAACAATGTTAACCATACCTTTCTTGAAATGCACTTACAGCTTTGCTAGGAAGACATAGTATGTAAATGTTAAAAGCATCTTATAAAATAAGACATTATATAAAAAGCAGCATGATTAAAGCAATATGAACTGTGGAGTTACTAGAATTCGTTTAATAAGGAGGTCAGAGAGGTAGGTTTTGAACAGAATTTTTGAAAAGTAAAGAGAATATTTCAGGCAGGGAAAAGTTTGTTCAAAGGCACCGAAGAACAAAAACACATAGTATGTTAGAAGTAATTTTACTGGGATCAGAGTTCACAAAGGAAAATAATGTATCATCGAACTGCTAGAGAACAGGGACTGAGTCTTGTTACTTCATATTCTCATTTTGTAGCATAGTAGGTGATATATTGATGCTACAAATATTTGTTAAATTAATGAAATTATATAAACCAAAAAAACAAAAACCAGTTTATATAGTTAAACCAAACTCACTGCCGTCGAGTTGCATCCAACTCATAACAACTCCTCCTTGGGTTTCCAAGGCAGCATCACTACAGAAGTCAAATGCCTTAGGCACTATGCCACCAGAATTCTTACAGTTTCATTATGGTATGTTTCTTGAGGGCCTGTCTTTGCAGAAGGAGCTCTGGTGGAGTCCTTCATTGCCAGACTAAATTTGGACTTTATTCTGTAAGGAAGAGGAGATCAAGATACTTTATAGAAGAGAAGTGGTATGTTGAAACTTTATTCTGTAAGGAAGAGGAGATCAAGATACTTCATAGAAGAGAAGTGGTATGTTGAAATTGATCCACAAATTTGCTGACTGAACTGTAATGGGAAACCAAAAACACCAAACCTACTGCCACAGTGTTGATTCTGACTCATAGTGACCCTATAGGACAGAATAGAACTGCCCCATAGGGTTTCCAAGGCTGTAAATCTTTATGGAAGCAGATTTTGTGGAGTGGCTGATAGGTTTGAACCGTCAACTTTCTGGTTAGCAGCCAAATGCCTTACCTACTATACCACCAGAGCTCCTTAACTGTCATGTGAGGACGATTCAAAAGAAGAGAGAATTTAAGGAGATCATTATTGGTGGCCAATTTTAATACGTGAAACAGCTACTCATAGATAGGTTGTTGGGATACTTGTCACAGAAACGAGATCAAGAGACATTATGAGACTGAAGCCCGTCCCTCCCCTCAATTCTGTCAGTGAACCAGATAGCCCAGGAAGTTCTGTGAGTGTTCAACATTTAGTGGTGCATATAGCTGCCAGACAGTGTGAGGATCTGGAAATCATGGAATCTGCTGGCACTGAGCTCAGAAGTGTTTTTTTTTGTTTTTTTTTTAATCTTGTTCTTTTTTTTAAACAGTCTTTCTACCACTGCTGTGAGTTTCTTTTGTTTGATGATGCACTGGATCCCAGGTAGGGGTTTTGCCACTTCCTCCTCCCTCTACTTCTCTTTCTCCCATTCTGCACTTAGAATACTGTACCTTTTTCCTGAAAATTACCAGAGGCTTCTGTACTTCTCCACTCTGCATGGAGCTAAACAGGCAGCAATACCGCAGAGCCGGAAGTTAAAGAAGACTGAGTCAGGATTTGTTTCCTCGTTGTCAGGGAAACAGCCTTTATATTTGCATATTTTATACAGCATATTGGGGCAGAAGTTAGGTACAAAAACAGCAAGGAGGCCCCATGTTCTGACCTCCTCTAACCCTACAAGAGGAAGACAGGATTACCAGCAGTAACCCAAGGCCTATTCCTACAAGGCCAGACATGCTGCCTCCCTCCAGCCCTTTCACCAAC